GCGGAGGATCCCTCGGGAGGAGGGGGTGCCTGGACGACGCACTCCGCCCTGCGTCCTGTGTAATGCGAAAGTGGGAGTGCCACTTCTGCCGTGGCCCGCTGCATTTCCGTCCTAGGCCGCCACCCATCCACAGTCTTTCCGGCACGGGGAAGCGAGGCCGATAGAGAGTACGGAGGCGACATCGTGCTACGGTCGGGTGCATGAGCTCCTCCGGGGCCTCGGCGTTGCTCACACCTTTCCTCGGGGAAGTTCGCGTTCTTAGGGGAACAAAAAGTGGCATAAACATAAAAACTCCGAGGTCCGCGAGGATTCCTCGGATCGGCCCCCTGGCGGCGCCTCCGGCGCCGCCCCTGGCGCGCTCCGCGCGCCAGGGATGGGGGTCCAGCGCCGATCGGAGAAATCCGCGCGGACCTCGGAGTGTTTATATGTTTATGCCACTTTTTGTCCCCCTATAAGAACACGAACTTCCCCAAGGAAAGGTGTGAGCAACGCCGAGGCCCCGGAGGAGCTCATGCACCCGACCGTAGCACGACGTCGCCTCCGTACTCTCTATCGGCCTCGCTTTCCCGTGCCGGAGAGGCTGTGGATGGGTGGCGGCCTAGGACGGAAATGCAGCGGGCCACGGCAGAAGTGGCACCCCCTCTTTCGCATGACACATGGCGCAGGGCGGAGTGCGTCGTCCAGGCACCCACTCCTCCCAAGGGATCCTCCGCATAGCCTGGAAACCCCTACAGCCCGTCGACGCAGCAAGACCACAGCCTACACATGGTCTCACCAGCATACTGCGAGCAGCCTCGTAGAGGAGCTGGTTCCACCTGATATGATGTGTGCACGATGTCGCCTCCGAGTTTTTATGTTTATGCCACTTTTTGCGCCCCGAGCTCTGAGGGCCTCCGCCTGCCCGCACTCTCAGCCGCTCCGGCTGCGAAGAAGTCGGCCGTCGGCGGCTCCCCCCCGCCGCCCCGGCGTCGCGGCCTCTGCGCGCTCGCCCGCCCCGGCTCCCGCTCGCTCCCGCTCTCTTCCTTTGGTTGGGAACGCATGTGCATGTCTTAGTTTGAAGTCGGGCGTGTCCCCCTACAGGGGGATTTTCGACGAAAAATCAAACATACTCAAAACATACTCCAACATGGTCAAACAATGCTCAACCAATAGTCCCCAGACCATTTTTGGACTCTTTTGGAATACTCCCCCCTGTATAGAGGGACAGGCCCGACTTCATCTCAGTTCAGAGCCACCGAGCCTTTTGGTCAGCGACTCCGTTGTCAATGCTTGCTGCGCACCACCCGTGCCGCTGAGCCGCCTGTGGCGCCTACAGTCGGGGCCCTGAAGAAGGAACCCTTTTCGTTGGGGAGGGGCTCCGCGTTCCTTAAGTGTTTCACAGCTTGTCTCGCGTTTTCCTTGTGTTCGATAGGAAATCGAAGTTTAACTTATGGAAAAAATGGGCCTCGTTCCTTATTTAGGGTTCCTCAGGTCAACGCCCCGACTGTACCTTCTTCCTGCGCCCCGCGCTCGTGACACGTGGCGCGTCAAACGTGTCACCCGGTACGCCCAGTGCCTCTGCCGACGCTGCCGCCATATCGGCGGCCTCTCGCGCCGTCAGCTCGGTCCCGCGGAGAGCCGCGCGACGCTCTGAGACTCGCCATCGCTCGGACGTCCATTCCCTGTGCTTTTTCCGGTTTCGTGCGCGGTTTTCCGCCAAATGGTCAAGGATGCTCCTCGATGGTCCTCGCCGAGGAAAACAATGCACACGTCCGAGCGATGCCAAGAAGATGGTTGTCGTGGGCTGTCCGGTCCCCCGTGGGGCTGCGATTCGGCCGCGGGCCGCGTCCGCGCGCGGCGACACCGCCGTGCCGTCACTCGTGTTATGTCGGGCGTGTCCCCCTACAGGGGGATTTTCGACGAAAAATAAAATATGCCCCCAACAATGCCCCAAAAAGGTAAACAAAATACTCCAAAAAGAGTCCCCAGACTATTTTTGGACTATTTTTTGAATATTTTTTGGGTATCTTTTATTTTTCGTCGAAAATCCCCCTGTAGGGGGACAGGCCCGACTTAACACTAGTTTGCAGCCGCACGACTCTCGCGCTCAGCTGCCTTTCTGTGGACGCGTACTCTCGCCAACTGTATTATGACCAACTGCCGGGGTTTCGGCGTCCCGTCGGCTGTCCGACCACTTTTCTGTCGTGCCGTTTGGTACGACCGCGCGTCTCCTCGCGCTGTTTTCGCTTCTTTCCGCTTTCTCCCCATTTTGTCGGATTTTGTCTGCGGTGGCGGCGGTGGCGCCTGCGGTCTCCAGACGCTTATACCCTAATACCTTACCCGTGCGGCTTAGCCGCCGTAAGTGCTCTTGGTCGGGTGCCCCGTCCTGGGCGGCTCGCGGGAGGCACGCGCTGTTGCCAAGCGCGTTCGACACCTTCTCGCGACTTTGCCGCCTTAGGCGGCATCGCGCGTCCCGCTCGTTGCCCCACGCGGCACCGCCGCCGTCCCCAGACCCCACGGCCGAGCCGAGAGGCTGCCGTGGAACGGCGATGGCGGCGGGGCCACTTCGCCCCCCCCCC